CGTTTTTATAGACTACTTTGGAAAAGAAGATGTATTATTTAACTTGGTTTCTAGGTGTATGTCTTCCTGAATTCTCAAGATTTCGAATTCCAGACGACCATGCGATTTCAGATCTATCCATGTACAATTACATAGAGGTGAGTGAGAAGACGTGGCTCCACTGACAAATGTTCTTTCCTTTAGTTTTTCTTTGCTCCAGCCCAGTCTCATGCATGCTGCATAAGAACAGTTACAGCCAAGAACACACACACACAGCATTCCTTAGACATGGGCAGATTGTGAATATGTGGCCTGTGACAATGACCTATACACACATCTCCACCTACATTTCAGGGACATCTAGTAGAGAACGAGGATGACAGAATGTCTTTGGTTTCAGTCTCCGATAATTCACAGGCTCAGATCTTAGACATTTAGTAGAGTTAGTAATATACTATTTTAAAGAAAATGTAACTCTGAAATGTGTTAATATATCTGAGAAATCTAAAAACTGTTAAATGACCTTTCCACTCTTAACATTATAAGCTGTATACTTACAGCAACGTTAAATACCCATTGGGGACTTAGGCACTGAAAAAAATATAGAACACCAAAGAAATTCGTGGTCGGAAACATTAATACTTTGAAAAAAATACAGGAAGTCCATTTTGGATCAGGCACAGAAAAGGGTCACAATACATGGTTGTGGTTGGAGATTTAAAGTAATAGAGTTAAAAAATTTACAAGGTAAATTCAAAGAAGAGCGTGACTAGCTGCTTTCCATCTCTCCTGAAGACAGAAAGAGATAAAGTGGACTTCAGCTTAAGCAGAATTATATCCCATGTGATGAAGGAAGTTCTACTATAAGACACTGAAAGGTTTTATTGATGTATCCTGCCTATGTGTTTAAAAACAGGACAGCTACAATGCAAGTTTGTCCTGAATACGAAGTAAGTCAAGACAGACAAAGTTTAAGCAGATGTCTTGTGCCATAAATAATATCTCAAACCAACCAGGAAGGAACAGAAATTTCTCAAATCTTTGGGCTCATATATTATCTGAAGTTCTGGTTGAACAAACCCTTTGCTGGAAGAGAGTTCCCATATTGATTCTTCAGCAAAATAACCTTCCCAACAAGTTTTGTGTAGTTGTACATTTTCAAGGCAATGTTCTATAGCATTGATACTTACTAAAAGGAACTGGGTAAGACTGTTATGGAAATAAGAATTTATTTGACTAATTTGTGCCCAGCATTGTGATGAATAGGAATGATGAGTAATAAGTTCAAAGGAAAAAAGATACTTTGTTGGAGGTATTCTTTAAGACTCTTACATTGTTGCAGATGCGAGCACATGTCAATTCAAGATGGTTCATCTTCCAAAAAAACATAGAGCGATGTCTTCATGCTATTATGCCATCTACTTTTATCCCTCTCTACACAATGGTAAGGCCTGGCTTTAAGACTTTTCCTCACTTTAATCCTCCATTTAGCCATTAAAAAATACACAAAAATACTTTTTAAACTTCCCTACAGGTCACCTTTTCCAGAATAAGATATCATGAAGCAGTGCTGAGGTGGCGTTGGCAAAAAAAGGTTGGAACAGATTACACTTTTCCTTTTTTAAACTGATGTATTGGAGTGTCTTAAGTATTATGGTTATGTCGATTTTAGGCAAATAGAGAAATGATATGACAGTCTAGATGTTTGCACTTCAAATAAAAATGCTTGCGGTACATGGAGTGCAGGGTGCTGAATGAACAAAGCTACAAAGATGAGAAGGTGAGAGGGGCTTGTGAGGGAAAAAATTCAGAAAAGAAACCAATGCTAATATTTCTAAATGTTTTACTTTATATTGGAAATGTGAACCATTCCTAACTTTTGCTTCCTGCAACATTCTTATGGGTTTACTTTGTGAAACTGGACAGAATTGAATCACTTAGAAAACACAAATTCCACATACATTTTGGGCAGCTGACCCAGAGATGTCACTCTATGAACGTTCAGACTCCTAATTTTCCACTTTGGAAATTTTACAAATTCATTCATTCAGCAAATCGTTTTATTTAGTGCACAATGAGCTAGGCGTAGTAATGAGCAAGACCCAGTTCCTACCCTCCACATACGTAGCTCAGGGACTAATGGGGAGACGGACAACTGCAATGGAGGGGGATAAACAGCCCCTGAAGGAGAACAGGAGTGGGTAAGCACAGGCAGAGGCTGAAGGAACGTCCGCACCAGGGCCAGTGTGCGCACTGCGTGTGCCTCTGTGGAGCTGGAACGCACTACCTCAGGGTGAGAACGGCCAGCGAGATAAGCAGGGCCTCACAGGTCCTGAATGTTACCTTGCGAGAAGTAGGGATTTAACAACGATTACTTTGCTATGTGGAGAATGAATTGGAAGGAGTCAAAATTTATTCGTACAGAGATGAATGCAATAGGGTCTCTGTCCTCAGGCAGTCACAGGCGATTAGACGGCGGGACAGCGAGGGCAGTGCTAGAAATGGGCCAGGATGATGGGGCGCAGCTAGCCTAGACCAGAACGGGTGTCGCTGGCGCTGTGCTGACGATTGCCTCCTAGTGGTGAAGATGCCTTGTTTAAAGTCTTCCGGTGACTGCGTCTCCTGCGTCACAGAGGTCACAGAATTCACCAAGTTCTTCTTCTGTGGAGACGTGCTGTGTCTGAGAAGCGGCTAAGTCATTTGTGGCTTCGGCACAGTACTTTACCAAGACAGAGCTCACAGGTCTTTGTCTAAACTGTTTTTTTAAAAAAAAAAAAAAATGACTGCACAAAGGCAAACTGCTAAGCATTCCTTATTCAGAACACAGACTTGTGCTTTTCTTGAGAAGGAGAGAGGAGGAAGGAGCGCTCCAAGTTCCTCCTTATCAGCCACCGCAGGACTTGACCTAGTGGTCAGTGGAATGAAGTATCTGTTCCAGGTTAAAACCAAAGAGGCAATTGTATAATCCTTAGTAATCTAAGAAGAAGTCTATTTCAAGATTTTAATCTCTGAGCAATTAAAATGAGAGTTCTTGCCTTCTTTACAGGTAATAAACAACGGACTCTTTTTCTTTGGAACACTGATAGCCATCGGCAGTACCTACCTACTTACACATTACATGTTACCTCGACCTCTGGACTATTTGAGAAGACCGTGGAACTGGATCACTTACTTCCAGAATACAGGACATGTTTCACTCAAACTCCCTTGAGCCACTAGAACAAAATCCCAGTTTTATCAGCAGATGACGTAAAGGTTTTGAGGTAGCAAATGCTTGATTTCTCTGTAACCGCAATTCAAGATTAAAAATGTGTTTCCATCATCATATTTAATTTACTAATGGAAGATTAAAGATTAAAGATTGCAAGTAAATTCAATTTTGTCTCTGTGTTGACTGCAATTATTGGAAAAAATTACCACTTTTTATAAGTTACAACACACAGCTTCACCACAATATTACTCTCAGGAGGGGGTCATTCTAAATATAAAAGTGCAGTGATTTTCACTTCTGAATAAAAGAAGCCCCAAGAGGTCTCAGGGAAGACACTGATCAGGCCTTTTTCTTTAGAGGATGTAGTGAAAGTCATAACAGCATTGACTCAATATCTGAGACTAAACATCACATCTTGCCTAACACGCTAACTGCACTTTCCCCACCTGGGTAGAATTTATCTAACCACAATGCTCAAATTCACTTTAAAAAACCTGAAGTGCAAATGGGAACTTTGGGGGAGTTCCAGAGAGTTACAAAATGAACCTGTTTCCCAGTCTTCAAATTCCAGTATTACCTTCTGACGATAAGAAGAAAGCGGCTAATGCCATACAAAGTGAAAGATACGAAAGGGTTTTATTCACAAATTAAATCTCTCCATGTACAACAGAATTGAAAGGAAATGAGAGACAGCTTTCTTAGAAATGTGAAGTATTTTATTCCATTTCAGACACTCAGAATCAATCTACTAATTTATTCTGTAACTACATGCTTTGGCAGAACCAGCAATAGACTTTATTATTAAAAGCACATTTAGTGAAAAACTCTTTCTTTGGTTCTTCCTTCGTCAGTAGGCTGACCCAGTCATTTAGATATCCTTCAGAAATGATTAATTATGAAGATGCAACACTGGTAAGACAGTTATCCAAGAAATAAAAAGTAGGCAAAGTAAATCAATAAAATGATTGTGTTTCTTTCATATACTGTCAAAAAAATCCTCGTGTTCTAATAATCTGTTTAGTCTAAACAGTGACCTGTGGAAAATGGACTCTACGATAACACTGACTGTTAATTATCCAGTGGATTGACTGATGAATAATAAAGACTAAAACATTTTATAAAGATAGCTCTACACTTATTTTCATCACCCTCCAAACGCAGATTTGTTTTTTTCACTTAGAACTCCGATTCTAAATTTGGGATTCTGTGTCCATGGCAAAATTGGGGGAAATTATTAACAGAAGAGGCTAATTCTACCATGCTCGTATTTGAAATGAAATGGAGATACTGACCTGCCATCAACACCATCTTCACCATGTACATCCTCTATGAATATATAATTAACTATATTCCATGACTATCTTGAAATTTGTGATTCTAGTTTCTTTGCTATGATGCTTCTTAGTGTCTTCTAGCACTTGCTCAGTAACACATTAGTCTGAAGCTTGTCTCTATGGTACTATACATACAGCAACAGTCTTTTGTTTCAGATAGTTATGGGATTGATTCTCTTTTTCTAGAAATATCGCCTTGATAAATTTGATTTGGTCAAGTATATGCCATGACAATGAATAGGACGCAACACTACAGAAAAATCAAGATTGTCTAGATATTTTGCACATTTGTATAAAACAAAGGTATTTTTATAGCTGAGGTTTTTGAGAAAAAATTCATTATATGCTTTGGAAAATACAGTCCTTTAAAAATATATTTGAAATAAAAACTTCTAACATGCTAGATGATGGTGCTAGATGCCCATCTTGTGCTTCAAGCAGTTTTTTTCATTATTTAAAGCACCTGTTAAACAAATATTTGTCCTGCTCAATTGCTTTCTCACGCCAGAGAGCAGATGGGTAATTCAGCTTTCCTGCTGAGCCACAGAAGTTCTGTTGCTATCACGTAGAATGTAGATTCCAGAACAGTCCTTACAATGGAAGTCTAAAAGTAGTGTCTGATTTAAGACCCACATTTCATTAGCATTATTCATTCCTATAAAGGACGAACTTGGATTATATCAGCTTTGGACCCATTGGTTTTGTCCATGTCGTTGACGGATAGCGACTCATCACCGGTAATGATAAAAATGATGGAAGAAGAGTTAAAAGTCACTTTCTTCTTTGGCCTGTCCCTGTCTTTCTGTGACATCACAATGGGTCTGATCTGCATTTCACTCCCAACTACTGGTAAGTCCTTAGCAGGCCGCTGGCATCTCAGCAGGCGGAAACATAGCAGCTGCAAAAGGGATCTTCGAAACTGGACAGAGAAAATCAAGTTGAATATTAAAGTTTGATCCTTAGCCTAGATTAACATTCAAGGAAATTAGTTTAGTGACTGAGTTGTTGTTGTTGTTTTAGCAGATGTGGTTGAGGGTTAGGTGGCAATGTTTCTGTCTACCTAAGTAACCCTGGGGTTTTATGTCTTGTTCATATTAATAGTTCTTTATAGCTAGACCACATAGGCCGATTTTAATACCTTATCATTTGCACAGACTCAAGTTACATGCATCTTCTATGAGGGCAGCTACATCTGTTTCTTTAGGGGGGTTGGAACATGAATTCATTCCAGAAATATTCAGTGAGCACCTACTAGGTGACAGTCACTGTGCTGGGATCTGGGGAAACAGTGAACAGCAAAAAGAGAATGGGCTCTCCTGGCAGAGTTCAAGGTCTGGTGTACTCACTAACGCTATTTCTTGGATTAGGTAAAGAATTTTTTTTTTTTCCTATCAAGATTACTAATCAGTTGGAGAAAAAATATTGCAGCAGAAAGTGCTGGTGTTCACCAAAACCCATGATGCTCCTCTTCATTCTTGGGACGACACTGAACCCTATCTCTCAGCCCCTTTCAGGGGCTCCTTCCTGCTCTTTCCCTTTTATAAGGACCTCAAGATCTGCCGATGGTAGTATCACAAAATGGAAAAAAACCCTTGATTCCTAAATGACTGCATGGAACAGCTCTCACCTCCTCCACTAAATACATAGGACTGTGGACAGGATGGATTGACCAGTAAGCACGGTAAACACTGGCTTACAGTAAGCAAGGTACACAGGAGCTTAATTGTTTTTACTTCTAATCTGTAGGAAAGATATAAGAAGAAAGAACAAAGAGGGAGAAATAGCACTGGACATTATAAGGTTAATGCCCTCTTTTTCCAAACTCTTGAGCATTTGAATTCAGAGTTAAAAGCTCAACTGCTAACCAAGAGGTCAGTAGTTCGAATCCACTGATCGCTCCTTGGAAACCCTATGGGGCAATTCTACCCTGTCCTATAGGGTTGCTATGAGTTGGAATTGACTCAACGGCAATGGGTTTGAGGTTTTGTTTTTGGTTTATTTTTATTACCTGCTTTACCATTGCCTTTTAAAATTCCAATGTAGTAATTAACCATTATTCACAGCTTTTAAATCCTCTAATCCTTAAACTTTATAACTCAGAGGCTTAGCTTCATATTAATTATACTGAGGACTCTCAAAGTCATGACTGACAACCATCAAGTCAAAACCTTTGTACTACAGAAAGAAATAATAAGATTCCCAATAGACCCAGAGGAAATTTCTTGAGCCAAATTGATTTTGGCTAGATGGGTGGACATGGCATATGATTAGCAACCTGAAGCAATTGCCAACGGTACCTATAACCCAAAATGATGAATTATAAGCATGAGCTCTTAAGATACAAGAAAACCGAGTATAAATTCTGGCACCAACAATTCCTAGATCAGGCAAGTTATTTAACTTCTCTGAACCTATTTTAAACGCATTAATAAAATAGGGAATAATATTAGTACCTATTTCATGGAATTTTGTAAAGATAATGGTATAACCTGCATAATATAGTAAGTATTTTTAAATATTAAATATGGAGTTATTATTATTATTACCAGACACATAAAATATTTGTTAATGAATTAAACATTAACTTTAATGGAGTTTTCCTGTCAAGTGTGAATCCCAATTCGTAGATCTTAAAACTGTTTTTGGTTTCTTTGGCAATATCCTACAGTTCTTCCTGAAGCCTTTCCTTTCCTATAAAATTCTTGATTTTGGGTGTTATTACTGAAACGGCTCTAAATAACCTCTACAGAAGTATTTCCCAATCCCACTCCCAAGATCCTGACTAGTGAAAACAATCACTTAATTATACAGCTTACCTTTCTGATCATGAAGGTATAAATAACTGGATTATATACGGTGCTCGATTTAGCAAAGAGGTATGAAACAACAGATATTGTTGGAGTGACCAGGTGTCCATAACCATTAACCACCAAGAAACAGATCACAATATAAGGCATCCAACAGATCAAGAAGGTGAATATCATAAAAAGACACATTTTGGCCACTTTCTTTTCATAACTTAAAATTTTGATCACTTGAATTGTCTGAAGATCTTCAACACAACGAAGCTGCAGAAATAAGAAAATAGGAAGAGGTTAAAAACAAAAAATTCATTTTTGTGTCTGAGGTCTTAAAAGCTAGCGAGCAGCCATCTAAGATGCATCAACTGGTCTCATCCCACCTGGAGCATAGGAGAATGAAGCACACCAAAGACACAAGGAAAATATTAGCCCAAGAGACAAAAAGGGCCACATAAACCAGAGACTCCATCAGTCTCAGACTAAAGACCCAATGACTGCCCTGACAAGGAACACAACAGAGAGACCCTGATGGAGCAGGAGAAAAGGGGGATGCAGAACTCAAGTTCTAGTAAAAAGACCAGACTTAATGGTCTAACTGAGACTGGACGGATCCCAGAAGATATGGTTCCTGGACTCTCCGTTAGCCCAGAACTGAAACCATTCCCGAAGCCTAATATTTAGACAAAGATTAGACTGGACTAAGGGACATAAAATGATACTTATGAAGAGAGTGCTTCTTAGCTCAAGTAGATACATGAGACTAAATGGACAGCTCCTGTCTGGAGGCAAGATGAGAAGGCAAAAACGGACAGGAGCTGGTTCAATGGACATGAGAAATCCAGGGTGGAAAGGAAGAGTGTGCTGTCACATTATAGGGAGAGGAAGCCAGGGTCACATAACAATGTGTATATAAATTTTTGTATGAGAAACTGACTTGAACTGTAAACTTCCACTCAAAGAACAATTTAAAAAAAAACATTTTCTTTTATTTTGTTTACAACAGATATTCAGACATTACTCTTGTTCTTGCCTTAATGGAAAGAGGACTGAGCAGGACCTTGGGGTAGGGGCTGACTGCGGATCTAGAACCTGCAGCTGGGCTCAGCCTTAACCTCTCTGGGCCGCAGTCTCTTCATCTCTATTTACTGAAGTTGAACTACATAGCCTCTTAGATCGCAGAACGGCTTCTAAAGTTTTTCTAATTTACTTAGTAAGAATAAAATGAATTATTTTCCCTATATCTTCAACTAGCTAAAAAAACAGCCTGAAAGAGTCATGATAAAATGAAACAATTTCTCCATGATCCTTGAAAGAAACACTTTCATCCAGAGCATAATCCGCCAGCTCTCAAATCAGGCAGCAAACCCCTGTGATGTTACGAGTTCTGCAAGGTTAAGCCTATATCTGACCTTGATGGGAACTTAATCCCCGAATGAATTCTTGCTGAAAACAATTGTGTTTTCCAACTTATTGCCAATGACTATTAAGCGGGATTTGATGAGAAATTTCTTTGTGGTTGGTTCCATCAGCGACTCAGTTGCTGAAGAGGTAAAAACCCAGTAGCCCCGTTCCTCTGAAATCAGCAAGTCTACTCCAAGCGTGCCCCCATTAAAGATACTGAGGATTAGTGATCTACAAATAGTCCTTAAAGCTCTCTGAGTATCTCAGATAAAAGATTCTTTAGAAGTTACTCCTATCATTACTATAAACGTGTTATTAAGGTGAAGGGAAGAATATTCCTGGTCACCAAAAGTATGTTCTTACACAAAAATGATTTCTGAACATCCTAAGAAGCTATACTAATTCTGCTACAAAATATAAATGCTTTACACATTAATACAAAAAGGTATCCAGCATACTATTGACACTTAGTATTGATACTTTTAAACTGGGAAATTTAGTGCATTTCAGTAATTCCAAATGTACCTTCTACTTGTAGGGTTACTATAAAAATTAAGAAAAAAAATTCTGAAGAATAATTAGAACATGTGTTTATAGTATTTATAAATATATTTCAATTGTTGGTATCTCTAAAATTATATTTAAACAATATCCTTATTAAGATAATGCATTCATATTGACAATGAATAGAAGGAAACATGAAAAAATAAAAGTTTTTTTTTTTTAGAGTAGAGGGAATGTTTATGTGGGGGGGTGTTAAATTCTGACACTAGTATTTTCTGTATGTGTGCAATCCTATTTTAAAAAGAAACTGTTTTGTTTATTTTATTTTCAGAAGAGTATTTTTTCATTGTTTTTTTTTTCTCCCAAAAGTTTATAGGAAGGTTGTGAGGTTCTAGGAAAAGCTCTATATTTGAAATTAGAAGGTCTGGGTTCATATTCCAGATTCACTAGTTTTACTCCCAATGTGATGTTGGGCAAGTCAATGACCTTCTCTAAGAGTAAATATTAAAGGAGATTAAAACAAATAAGCTATAAGCATCGGCAGAACCTGGGTCCCAGTTCTGCACATATGACTGTGGGATTGTTTTCAAGATTAAAGATTTATTTATATTTGAAACTATATTTAAAACAAACATACTTACATGCATATGTATTTTTATGATATTATAGAATATTTGGAATTATGATTTTTGACTTCTCAGAGTTTCAATTAACCAGTAATAGAACCCAAGATGAGTTATCTGCCCTGCAGCTTCCTGTTACTTAGGGCCCAAGAGTTTTATCTGCATCATTTTGTCTGGGCAAGTCAGTCCCCATCCTTTCCAACACCATTTATCCAAGCAGAGCTTTCATCTATTATCTTGGAATTGCATGCACACTAAACAAGTTAACTTAAGAAATGTTGGTTTCTACTTCCCAGTGGTTCTTTGGTGTGAGAAGACCCAAACTAATGTTTCAGATTATTTGGGTTTGTATATATGAAGTGTCCATAATTATTTTTAATTTATTTATTTTTCAATTCTTTGTTTCATCACTCTCTATTTCTCCATTCTGCTCATTTAATGTTTTCAAAATAAAGAGCTCTATTTCATGTATCACTTCCTTTATTTAGTCACCTGAGGATTATTTTTCAAAATTACTATAGATGAAGCAAGAGCACACGTGCAATCAAATCTGTCCTAAAGATGAACCACTGAAGACAAAGTCTCTAGAATTCCCTTTAAAGGTAGTCTCTGCCTATATAAATGGCAGATGCCTAGTCCTTATCGATCCAGACACTTGTAGATTTTCGAAGAATTCGTTTTGAGTTCTCATTCTCATGTGAGTAGCTACTTTTCCATAGTCACTGGATAAGGAAATTGAGGGAAATGACTTGCACCAAGTTCTGTGTTGAGGTAATACCAGCTACCAGTTGCCACTGAGGTGATCCCAACTTATGATGACTCCATGTGTGTCAGAGTAGAACTATGCTCCCAAAGATTTTCAATGGCTGATCTTTTGGAAGTAGATCACTGGGCCTTTCTTCCAGGACATCTCTGGGTGGACTTGAACCTCCAGTTTTTCGGTTAGCAGCTGAGTACATTGTTTGTACCACCCAGGGACTGTTGAGATATTAGTACAGTCTAAAGTCGAATATCTTCACACTTTCACTACACCCCCCCCGCATCGTCCCCTTGCTTTGCCCTCTGCCTGTAACTCATTCAAAATATAGCCACTGAGCACCTACTGTATGTGGTACTGTTCTAGCTTTAGGCGAAAAGATAAATAAGACTTGTTCTCTGCTCTTCAGGAATTCACTATTTGCTGAGAAAGACAGGTACATGAACAGACTGCTTCAATAGGTGATATGGGACATGAGGGGGGTGACCATGGAGGGCAATTGGAACACACTGAATGAGCAACCAATTCAGACGGTGAGTGAAATGAAAACATCCTGATCTCAGCCTTCTGGGTGAGTAGAAGGTAGCCAAGTAAGGAAGAGAGAAAGAATATTGCAGGGAAAGTTGATGTGCTAAGACGAAGGGGCAAACGAATGCATGTCAAATTCTAAAAAGAAATGTGGCATTGGCTGCAGCCTGAGGTGGCTGGAGGAAGGGAGAGTCAAGATATTAGGCTGCACGGGTAGACAGGCGATCGCCACAAAGGAACATATAGCCATGCTCAGGGACTCACTAGAAAAAAATTTTTTGTTGTTGTTGTTGAGAATATACACAGCCTCAGGGATTCATTTTTAATCATGAAGTATTTTAAGCTGGGAAGTGACATGAGAAATTTTATATTTGAGAGCAATTCCTCTGGTGGCAGTGTGGCGAGAATGGGTTAGAGGAGAGCAACGGTAAAGGAAGAACAACTAAGATCCTCCTGAATTAAGTCTGTGGCAGAGGGATAGGGCAAAGAAGATTTACTGGAAAAATATTTAAGAGGTGGAATAGGTAAGACTTGATAATTGGTTGGGTGTAGGGAGACATGGATTAGGAATAGTCAGAGATTACTCCCTAATTTCTGATTTAGGTAGCCAGGAATAATGATATTCACTGAGAAAGAGAATGGAGAAGTAGTAGATTTGGGCAGGGGGTAGATGGGGAGTGAGGGAAGGGTGGATGAATGACTCCTCCATACGTATGCTGAATTTAATGTGTCTGTGAACCATCCCAGTGTAGGTAGGTGTTCAATAGGCAGTTGACTGAGAATCTGGTAGAGATCAGAAGAAAGACCTGGAATGCAAAGACTTCAAAGTCATTTCAAAGTCACCAAGCTATTGTTAGAAGGAGAAATCCTGGCAGTATATGAGCTCATCCAAGGTAAATGTGTAGTGTGAGATGAGAGCTAAGCATAGAATACTAAGGACAATGAAGAGAAGTCTTTGAAGGAGACTAAGAAATAAGGGCCGGAGAGTCAACAATAAAGATAGGAGAGAAAGGGGTCCTAGAAACAATGGGAAGAGAAAGTCACAAGAAAGTGGAAGGGGTCAATAATATAAAAAGCTGATGGGCCAGAAAACGAAGGAAGGAAAGAAGAGAGGGAAGGAGGAAAATGTGTCCATTGGACCTAATAACTGGGAACTCATCAATGATGTTAATGGAGGCTGTTTCAGTGAAAGCTGGTAGAGGAAGGTGATGCCAATTTGCAATGTACTGAGGAATAAATGCTAGGTGATTTTACTAAACTACAAATTTATTTAGGGCAGAGGCTATACCTTATCTATTGTATCACTAAGGCTTAGTAAGTAATTGGTGCATTTTAGGTGCTCAATAAATAGTGGTTAAATGAATGCTTATTGAAAGAAGATGTGGCACCAAAAAACATAAACAGTTCTTTGAGTTAGCAGTGATGGGAAGGAGAGAAATAAACTGATAGCTACAGGGAGTTGAGAGTAGCTTTCACTTTTGTACTAAATTGAGTCCCTGGGTGGTGCAAATGGTAAAGTGCTCAGCTGCTAACTGAAAGGTTGGAGGTTTGGGTCCACCCAGAGGCACCTTGGAAGAAAGGCCTGGAAATCTACTTCTGAAAAAAAAAAAGCCATTAAAAACCCTACGGAGCACAGCTCTACTCTGACACACATGGGGTCACCATGGCAGCAACTGGTGGTTGTGGCGGTTGTTGCATTTTAAAGGGAACGAGCCAGTGGTGAAGAAGAGATTGAAGATATAAGCAAAAGAGAAAATCATTACTTGAAAGAGATCCCTGAGGCAGGGAATGGAGTAGGACAGACAACAGAATAGAGGATCAGTTTGGTCCTGGGAGACTTCTCCAGTGGCCCTGTAACAGAAGAGAGGAGTTAAAGAATGAATGTGAATATAGAGGTTTGCATAAAAGGAGTCAAGGAGTTGAGGAAGTTCTTGATAATGACTTTATTTTGTCCAATAATTAAGGAGTAAGATTGTTTGATACGAATGAGGAAGGCTAGGAGGGCAAGAGATTAAAATGAGAATTGAAGACATGTAACACCAGTTTTATAGACAGAGTGGGTCATCTAGGGATCCAAAGCCTGCTGGACAGCGCAGAGGACATCTGAGTACAGAGACTGGGAATTTGATGTGATTTTTTCTCCAGCTCCTCTTTGCAGTTTGACTACAAGCATGGAGAAGACAGACAGTTGGACTGATCCAGAGATATTTTTAACCAAATGGGTTGCATAAAGAAACTGGAAATTGAGGGAAATTGGATCATGGTTTGAAGTGATGCATGTGGCTAGCTCAGTAAAACAAGAGATGAAATCTAGAGGGTTTGGACAGAGTGAGCAAGAGACTGGGAGATTTGGATGAAAGATGAGAACAGATAGAGTAGGAAGAAGTAGTGAGAAGGAAAATAGATGAAGTTAGAGACTGGGATATGCAGCGTGTCCCATACTGTGTTTATTAGTTCAAACATCTTTCCTGCTAGCACCCAACATGAAAACTGTTTGTGGTCAAATCTTGTTCTTTATGACTCTAAAGTTATTTCCAGAATAAATACCTGTGCCATTCTCCAGTGGTAGGTTTATGTGACACTTGGATGAATAAAATAAAATTATGAGAAGTGTGGAATTCCCTTTGTTAGAGTTCTTAAACTCTAAGTATGCTGGATAATGAAATTTTTCATAATTTTGTCTGTCCAGAATCCATTTCCTTCCTTCTTTAGGTTTAGAGAGTGGTGTAGAAAGAGTAAACAGTGCTCAGGGGCAATGTAATAATTTGTGCATGAAAATACATAAATAGTAAAACTACAGTGTGTTCATGCACTCAACATTCAACAAATCTAAAGAGAGTAACATTCAACAAATCTAAAGAGAGTAAGTCAAATGAAAAAATTATCCAACAGGCATGTTCATGATGCTCCCATTATTAGAAGTACTGGACACACATTCTCCCTTTGCACCCTCTTCACTACACAAGTTACATGGAAATTCTCTTTTCTCTGATAAACCAAGTTCCTGTGGTTTTGTTCAAAGCTGAGCCTATGACCCAGACCTGCACAATCTGAGTGACCCACTGTTACTGTTCAGAGACGGACACAAAGGATATGAGATTTGTCCCTGAAGACAATACGATTCTCTTAAGTACAGTTTCCACCTGAGCGGTGCTTGCAAATCTTAGGATCTAGAAGCGCAGGGAATCGAAACCAGCAAGACATAGCAGAAACTTTTTTATATATCAACTCTTTCAAGGCTCTGAAAATTCAGTAAGGGTTAAACACACATATATACATACTTCAAGCAAATTCTCTAAACTTGCATATAGCTCAGATGCTGAAGAATGAAGAGTAATAAATCAAGTGAATTTTTTTTGCTTAGAAAAAGTGCAAGAAACATGCATTTATGGATTGTTAAACTGAGAGAGTCTTTACAGATTATTATCTATGTCAACCCACTTAATAACTAAGAAAACTGAGACAAATTAGTTATAGAAGGAACTCCAGCTAATAATGACATGTCAGGAAGAGCACCTGGCTATATTCTTAACTACAATCCCATGTTCCTTCTCTAACACTTCAACTGGTCTTTCAAAATTTCTTCTACTTCTCTCTCTCTCTAGGACCTCTTCTATAATCTACATATTTAATGGTTAGTAAAAGAGAGATGGCCTCTTCCAGAATGCTTTGCTTTGGGGTCCCAAGTGTATATTTATATTTCACCAACCATGAATTATTCAATCAAAAAGGAATAATTAAGTAGTATGAAGGGAGTATTTTTGTAATATAAAAGTATACATAAAGTATCCAGTGGAATGATTTTGACATATAGTTTTTCATCATACAAGCGTCACTATTTTGTAAAGATTATTAAATGCGTTATTTGTAATAGTATTTTTTAAATAAATATGTTATTTCCCATTGGAATAAATTATTCATCGTTGGTCTTTTCAGAGAGTGACTCATAGTGCACACTTCTCCCAACAGGAAGATTCCTAGACTGCTCCAGCTTGGGGAAACTACTAATGAGAGGAGAGAACGAACAGAGTGGGAAGAAATAGTGAGTAAATTTTGTCTGGAAAAACCCCTCTAGTCTCTCGCTCACTCTGTCAAATTCGTCCAGCTTTCATCTCTTTTTCTGTAGAAACTAGTCATTGCAAATAATGATCCCATTGTCCTCAACTTCCATGTTCCCACTTTCCTCACACATACCATTTGGTTGAAAAACAAAAATCCCTGAATCAATCCAACTATCTGTCTTCTCCACGTCTGTAGTCAAACTGCAATAATTTGCATTCTTTTCCACACAAAATTTTCTCCCCCAGACACCGTTTGAGGGGAGGGGCAGTTGTAATCTTCAACTCACCATTCGAATGGAGTACAGAATATGGCCATAACAATGCACTATGACGCCCACGGGCACCACCAGGCAGCCGAGAAATAAGAAAAGCACAAAGGAAGAATCACTGGAGTTGTTGGATTTCCAGTCCACAGTGCAGGCTAGTCCATGTGTGTCCAGGATGTACCTGTTCCAGCCTAGGAGAGGTGCTCCTGACCATGCCAGTGAGTAGAGCCAGATGTAGGTAATGGCCCTCCAGGCCCAGGAGAAATTGATCACTCTGGCATGGACCACACGGATATAACGTTCATAGGCCAGCACAGTTAGGGTTGTAATGGAAGCAATCCCTGGAAGAAGAGAAAATGGGAAAGTATAGCACGGCCATGGGAACAAGAGATATAACCAAGATGATACATTCTCTCTGGAAATATCTTACAATATATGTGGAATTGCTAGGAAGCAAGATCACTGATGCTCCGAAAGCTGAAATATCTAAGAGAAATAATGCTCCAGGGCCCCAGGGAATTTGATCAGGAACATACTTGCTTGTAAAAGAAACCACGGAATAGAAAATGGCATATAACTGCAGCAGGACAAAAATAAGTTCCAAAAAAATAGTCCCCCATCCACAATGATGGGGATATTGTATTACTTTTTCTGCCAAGAAGAAACCCTGGAGTGAGTCAGAGAGGGTAACTAGAGCCAGTAGCTCTTTTGGTTTTGCCTTCTGTTAGCTGTGTCTGACTCAGCTATTGAAGTCAAAGTGGGCTCCATGCGTATGAACTGGACAAATCAATGGTGAAATTATGCAGAGGGCTGGCTTAACCTACCTATTAACGGATGTCAGTATATTAACTGTTCATATTCAAGGATTTCTGACAAGGGAGTGAGGTCTTCTCTGCTCCCATGGTGTTCATTTATACCTCTATTTTGGAACATATATACTTCAACAATATTATTCATTTATTTCTCTACCTCCCCTGAGAGAGTGATCTCTTCACTCAGCAAGCACCTACTGAGCACCTACTCTGTGCCAGGCACTGAGCTGATACTGACGGTTCAATGATGACTAAGACGCAGAACTCTAAATGTCAGGAGGAATACAGATGTATAAACAACTGTAATACTGTACAACATGTAAGAGTTCATACGTGATGAGACAATTCAGAGATGCCAGGACACAGAGCAGACGAAAAGGAGATAAAGTTAAAAAAAATGAGGCCATAGTGAGAAAGACTTTTAATTTCATGCTAATGTTGTTTTTCTTTTATTTGTTCTTTTTTTTTTTTTCCTGTATGAAGTAGTAAATCATAAATGTGTTAACCTGTTGTGCTTTTTAATCATGGACTTAACAGTTAAGTTCTCCTCCTCCTCCTCCTTTTTCTTCTGAAAGGACATTCTAGTAATAGCATAGAACTTGAAACAGAGTCTGGTCCTGTGGAAGCCAGTTTGAGGCTATTGCAAAAGTTCCGGCAAGATATGATGCAGCCTGAACTAGGGTAACGTTAAAGGCATGCAGAACAAAGTCTAGATTCCAGGGACACTTGGCAATTAGTATCAACATTCTGAATGTGGGGAAGGTGTGGGAGGAGTCAAGAATAACTCAGAGAATTCTAACCTGCATGATGAATAGAGAGTAATTACATTAACCAAAATAAAAACTACAAGGTGCGTGAGCAGCAATAGGGAAGAAAACGAAATTATGAGTTCCCTAGAACACATAGGGATAAATATTTGTTGAATGAGTAGATCAAGAGAGGTTGGAGAAAAAGTGTCTTTAATGGAGAATGAAAATAAGACTGGTCTCTTGAAAAATAGGATAGGATATGTAGGGGAATGGTAGGTTGTCAAGAAACCTGAAGTCAAGTCCCAGCTCTCCACTAAGTAGCTCTTAGGACAGGGCATACAATCTCTTCAGACTTTGATTAGTTGGTTTTATTTTTATTTTATTTTTTTGTCATAAAATTGAAAATCTGCTCACAATATAAAATTCTGTGATTCTGCAATTATGAAAGTGTAAAATGAAGAGACCCTGGGCTCAGAAAGCAATTGGCAGAACATAGTTAATATTCACTTATACTATAACAGTTTTTTCTTGGGGATGAGGAGTATTATCCCCAACATCTGATACATATGGCATTCAATAAATGTTCACTAACCAAATGAATGAATATTTATTAAATACTTAAGTGACCAGAAGAAGAAAATCAGATTTTGGAATACAGTGGAAGGAAATACTTCAAAGACAGTAGTGATATCACAGCAAATAATGCACTTAAATTTAAATTATAAGAATTATGGGGACAAGGAAAATATCAAGTTAGATATGCTATCTTCAGAACTAAGAATGAAATTTTACCTATTAAATTTTTATTTAAAAAATTTTATTTATTTATTTTTATCCTTTCTTTGACTAATTATATTCCTAAAGGAAATCTAAAAACTCTAAAAATAATGGCATAACAAGTTGACTCTAATGAAATACGGTTAGTTTTATTTAATTTACAAGTTCATATGTTAAATGTAATGGTATTTAATTATATAACTGCCTTTAAATGCTCATTTAAATATTTAAAATTGGCCTTCAACTTTTAATTAACTTACATCGAATATGATTTAGTCCTTCACAGGCAAGAAAACTTGGTGCAAATAATTACACTTTGTTGTAGAAAAGTGACTCTCAATGTACCTTAGAGATGAACAAATGAGTTTTTATGGTTAAAACAATAAGCTGGTATAATTCTAACTTTCATTCATTCATTTATTAATTATTCATTGCTTATCTACATGTGCTAACCATTGTTCTAGAAAATATGTATAAAGAAGTGAGTGAAACAAAGTACCTCATGGAATTTATGATCCAGTTGGTAAGACAGATTAAAAAAAAAATCACAGAAGTAAGTTAGTGAAGTGCCATGAAGAAAAGAGCCAGTAGAGAGGTAGAAAAACATGTGAGGTGTGTTGGAGGAGAGGGTAAAATGCATCAGTTAGGAAAAACCTCACTGCACGCAGAGCTGAGGTGTGGAAATCACAGCTTTGGGATAAGCAGGGGTGCAGGGTCGTCATTTTGAACCATACCCATCTGACAGAAAAATATTCCTATTAGCCAATACTTGGGTAGCTTCTTTTCAGGTATTATATACATTCAAAATTAATGCAATGTATCTTTTAAAATTTTCTAAAATTCCACTGATGTAAGAAGTGTCCCAGGAAAGGGCACAGCATGCAAAAAGACCCTAAAGAGGGAGCGTGTCTGGCTCACTTGGCGGGACTGTTTCAGTAAAAGTGAGAATGACGCAAGATGAAGCTGGAGAGGCAGGAAAGGGCTGGATCATGCAAGGTTTATAGGAGTTTAGAGAATTTTTCCTTCTGATTATTTAAGTCAAAGAGAATGTTTTAATCTATTAATATATTTTTAGATCAGGCCTGTGTCTTAGTAGGCACAATGAGTTTCAATTGCCTGAATTCAGTTGCCAGTATTCAGTATTATGACCCGTTAGCACAGTCCTTGTTGTTGTTGTTAGGTGCTGTCACGTTGCTTCTGACTCATAGCAACCGTATGTACAACAGAACTAAACGCTGCCCGGTTCTGAGTCATCCTCACAAGCGTTGCTATGTTCGCGCCCCTTGTTGCAGCCACTGGGTCAGTCCATCTATTAAGGGTCTTCTTCTTTTTTGCTGTCCCTCTGCTTTACCAAACATGATGTCCTTCTCCAGGGACTAGTTCCTCCTGATAACATGTCCAAAGTATGTGAGAGCATCCTTGCTTCTAATGAGCATTCTTGCTGTACTTCTTCTAGGACAGATTTGTTCATTCTTCTGGAAGTCCATTGTATAGTCAATATTCTTTGCCAACACCATAATTCAAAGGCATCAATTCTTCTTTGGTCTTCCTTATTCATTGTCCAGCTTTCACATGCATATGAGGTGATTGAAAATATCATGGCGTGGGTCAGGCGCACCTTAGTCCTCAAAGTGACATCTTTGCTTTTTAACACTTTAAAGAGGTCTTTTGCAGCAGATTTGCCCAATGCAATGCATCTTTTGATTTCTTGACTGCTGCTTCCATGGGTGTTGATTGTGGATCCAAGTAAAACGAAATCCTTGACAACTTCAGTATTTTCTCTGTTTATCATGGTGTTGCTTATTGGTCCAGTTGTGAGGATTTTTGTTTTCTTTATGTTGAGGTGTAATCCATACTGAAGGCTGTAAGCTTTGATCTTCATCAGTAGCATAGTCCTAGTGGGCCCAAACTTTGTATTTCTCAGGCCTTCCTGTGGTAGCACACATGGTTAATGTGCTCAGCTCCTAACCACAAGGTTGACAGTTCAAGTTCACCCAGAGGTTCCTTGGAAGAAAGGCTTAGTGATCTACTTCTGAAAAATCAGCCATTGAAAATCCTATAGAGCACACAGTTCTACTCTGAAGGACATGGGGTCATCATGAGTCAACTTGATGGCAACTGGTCCTGACAACATGGGTATGTAAACAACAGGCTTAATTACACCAACTTAGTCTTTGAAGGTGAGTCACTTGAACTAACCTAAACTATGTAGTTTAGGTCCTCGCAAAATATATGCCAGCATTTTTTTTGCCCTCAACAATGTTTTATTTGCATAAAGCAACAATGCTTTATATTACATTTACAGGACTACATGAATTTTGGTCTGGGGTCAAAATGATTTCCTGTATTCCATTTGATTGCCAGGGCACACTCCAGGAGGATAAACATGAATGGACTAGCTTACAACTACTTTACATGTACGTCTTAACCAATGTTGAGCCTAATTATTCCATATGCATCCATTTCCCTCAACGCTATAGACAGAAAAGGGTAAGGAGAGTACCACATACTAGCACTGATTAAGTGTTAGATCCTATAGTAATCACTCTACATATGTTATCTCTCCTTTTTGGAAACAGGCCTGTGGCTCAGAAGGACTAAGTAACTAATAGGTAGTGGAGACAGTTTTGAGACTCCAAGACTGGCTGATTCCAAAACCCATGATTTTTCCTTCACATTTCCAGGGATGGGAGAGTTAACGTTGCCACTAGCCAGTCACTTCTACTTCCTCACAAATTCTAGGGTATATGACATCTCTGCTCTCCCTGCAACCTGCAGGGTTTTTTTCTAGTGTTCATCCTAAAATAATTTTGAAAAACTATGTAGATTCTTATAAATTTAAAAGGTGAAATCTAATTTTTTTCATCTTGAGTTTAAAGAGTTATGTAATGCAAATATAGATCCCTTCTGGCACAAACAGTCTGCTCTCAGCCACTAACTGAAAGATTGGTGGTTCAAATCCACCCATCACCACTGTGGAAGAAAGGCCTGGTGATCTACCTC